CTATATCCTGTGTCGTCTGGGCTATGTCCTGTGTCCTGTAGCCTGTGTCCTGTGTCCTGTAGCCTGTGGCCTCTGTCCTGTGACTTATGTCACAGACTACCGGACACAATACACAGGCTACAGGTTCCAGAAACAAGACCTAAGACAGAGTTAATAGGACTTAAGACACTCGATATAGGCCACAGGCTACAGCACAAGGGCCACACGCTACAGGACACAGGACATAGCCCAGACGACACAGGACACAGGATATAGGACACAGAATACAGAACCAAAAACACAGGGTAGTACACAGGCTACGGGACGTAGGTTACACGCTACAGGCCACAGGATATAGAACACAGGATTCAAGACATAGGACACAGGACACAGGATGCAGGACAGAGGCTACAGGACACAGGATACTCAATGCATACATAGGCCGCAGACTACAACACAGAGGATGCAGACTACATGACACAGGTTTCAGGACACAGGAAAGATGACACAGGACACAGGCTATAGGACAGAGGCCACAGGACACAGGACACAGGATGCAGGACAGAGGCTACAGGACACAAGACGTAGTACATAGGCGAAAGGACATAGTCTATAGGACAAAGGACAAAGGCCAGTGCGTGCTCTCCTCCTCACCCACCACTGGTTGAATTGACACTTTCTTGTTGAGAAAAATAAAGCAGAGGAAAAGAGATAATATGCAGGGAACCGAACTTTTATTCTGTAACAGGGTTAGTTTTAGAAAGGTCTCTGGACCGTGGACCCTACAGGAACAAGACATAGGACATACGCGAAAGGACACAGTCTATAGGACAAAGGACAAGGCCACTTCATGCTACATCCCTCACTCTTGAGACCTCACCAAGCCATGAGAAATGTTTCCAAATCAAAGCAGAGATTGTCCAAGGTCCAGAGACCTTTCTGGATCTAACCCTGTTACAGAATAAAATGTTCGGTTCCCTGCAATATTGTCTCTTTCCTCTGCTTATTTTTCTCAACAAGAAAGTGTCAGGTCAACCCTGGAAGGGTGAGGAGGAGAGCAGGCACTGGGCTTGGAGAGCAAGGAGGGGAATGGGGCCAAGGCCCTGGAGGGTGAGGAGGGGTGTGGGGTCCGGCCCTGGATGGCGTTGAGGGGAGTGGGGCTGGACCATGGATGGCAGTGTGGGGAGTGGAATCCAATCCCTGGAGGTCTAGGAGTGGAGCAGGATCCAGCCCTGGAGGGCCTTGAGGGCAGTGGGGTCCAGCCCCGGAAGGCCAGGAGGGGAAGCAGTGTCTAGCCCGGAGGGCAGCGAGCAGAGTATGCCAGGCCTGGAGGGCAAGGAGGGGGGCAGTGTCTGGCCCTGGAGGGCCTTGAGGATAGTGGGGCCCAGCCCTGGAGAGCCATGTTGGGGGCAGGGCCAGGCCCTGAATGGTCATGAGGGTGAGCGGGGTCTGACTTGGATTGCATTTCAGGAGCAGGACCGAGCCCTGAATAGAGAGAATTGGAGTGGGGCCCAGCCCTGGAGGGAGAGGATTGGAAGTGGGGCCCATGTCCTGGAGGGTGAGGAGGGAGTGGGGCCTAGGCCCTGGAGAGTGAGTATTGGAGTGGGGCCCAGGCCCTGTAGGTCTAGGAGGGGAGCAGGGTCTGGCCCAATAGGGTGTTGAGGGCAGTAGGCCCGAAAATGGGGGGTTGCAATGGGAGGGGCCCCAGGACATGAAGGGTGAGGAGAGAGTGGGGCCCAGGCCCTGGAGGGTGAGGAGGGAGCAGGGTTCATCCCTGGAGGGATTTGGGAGTATTGGGCCCAGCCCTGGAGGGCAGTGTGGGTGTGAGGTATGGCCCTGGTATGCAGCGTGGGAGTTGAGCCCAGGCCCTGGAGGATGATGATTGGAGTCGGGTACAGCCCTGGAGAGTGAGGATTGGAGTGGGACCAGGCCCTGGAGGGGTGCAGGGTGAGCAGAGCCCAGTCCCTGGAGGTCTAGGAGGGGAGCAGGTTGGCCCTATAGGGGTTGAGGGCAGGGGGCCTGGCCCTGGAGGGCAGTGTGGGGTGTGAGGTATGGCCCTGGAGGGCAAGGAGGGAGTTGGGCCCAGGCCCTGGAGGGCTAGGAGGGAGTTGGGCCCAGGCCCTGGAGGATGAGGAGGGGTGTGGGATACAGGCCCTGGAGATGTGAGGATTGGAGCAGAGCCCAGGCCCTGGAGGTCTAGGAGGGGAGCAGGGTCTGGCTCTATAGGGTGTGAGAGCAGTGGGGCCCGGCCTGGAGGGATATGATGGAGGGGGCCCGGCACTGGAGGGATGTGATGGGAGGGGGCCCAGGCCCTGGAGGGCGAGGAGGCCGTGGGGCTCAGACCCTGGAGGGTGAGGAGGAGATTGGCGTCCAGCTCTGGAGGGCTTTGAGAAGAGCAGGGCCTGGCCCTGGAGGGCAAAATGGGGAGCAGGGCTAGGCCCAGGAGGATGAGGAGTGGTACAGGGTCCGGCCCTATACAGATGGCACTGAGGGTAGTGGGGCCCAGCCCTGGAGGGCTGGGATGGGAGGGGGGCCCATGCCCTGGAAGGGGAGGAGGGGAGTGTGGCCTAGGCTCCCGGATGAGGGCCAGGATGCCCGGGTCCCGGTGAGCCCGCTATGTCACAACCCCATCCTGGTGAGAAGTGGCAGAGGCAGACGTGGTGGTGGGTGAGCCCATGAACGGGAACTGCAGTCGCTACCCTGGGAAGAGTCGGGAGCAGGTGCAGGGCTGCACCCCTGGTTCCCTGTGGAGGGGGGGATGGCCGGTTTCCTGAGAGCGACCCAGCAGATGCAACGTGGAACCCTGATGCCACACGGAGTGTCCTGCGTGTGTGTGATCGCAGGGGGTTGGTTTCATTTTTTTAGCTTTCTTTTTATTTATTGGAAAGAGTGAAAGAGATAGCTCCGTTCACTGGCTCACTCCCGAACACCCACAACAGCTGGGAGCTGGGAGCTGCACCTGGTCTGGGGTGGGAGGCAGGGACATGAGGACTTGAGGCCCCGTCTCGGGCCCTGCTGTGACTCAGCAAACATCGCCTTCCACCCCAGTTTGAGCTGGCTGTCCAGGAGGTGCGTGTGGATCTGCCTTCAGTGGGTTGTCTGCCCAGGCCTTAAGGAAGGCCCCGTGGTCCCTGTCTGGGCTTCTCTTAGGGCTAGTCGGGTTCTCCAGAGGTGTTCTACCCCTGCCTGGGGTCTGGCCCCCGGGAGCTCAGTGCAGAGGGTGGCAGTGAGCTCGGCGGCCGTGGTGAGCTGTCCCCTACACTGCGCTCTTAGGACACCACAGGCCTGAGCTCACCACTGCCCCAGCACTGTGCTCCTCCATGGCCCCCAGCTCACCACGGCTCCCTGCACTGTGCTCCTCCATGGCCCCCAGCTCACCACGGCTCCCTGCACTGTGCTCCTCCATGGCCCGCAGCTCACCACGTCCCCTGCACTGTGCTCCACCATGGCCCGCAGCTCACCACGGCCCCCAGCACTGTGCTCTCGGGACACACTGTCCCTGTGCTGAGCTCTCACGACAGCACGGCCCCCGAGCCCCGAGCTCACCACAGCCCCATGCACTCATCTGTTACGCCCTCTCCTGCTGCCTGCACGAAGTCTTCTGGCACTGGTGAGACTCCTGGTCTGTTTCCTTTTTAAAATTTATCGTGGGCTGGCACCATGGCTCACTAGGGTAATCCTCCACCTGCAGCGGCAGCACCCTGGGTTCTAGTCCCAGTTTGGTCTCCTGTAGCCTCTGTCCTGTGTCATGTAGCTTGTCGCCTATGTCCTGAGTCCTGCAACCTGTGTCCCGTAGCCTGTGTTCTCTAGGCTGTATCCTGGGTTCCATATTCTGTGTCCAATAGCCTGTGTCCTGTGTCGTCTGGGCTATGTCCTGTGTCCTGTAGCCTGTGTCCTGTGTCCTTCAGCCTGCGTCCTTGTCCTGTGACCTGTAGCCTGTGGCCTCTGTCCTGAACATGTGTCCTGTGACTTATGTCATAGACTACCAGGCACAATACACAGGCTACAGGACCCAGAACACAGGACATAAGACACAGGCTACAGGACTCAAGACACAGGACATAGGCCACAGGACACAGGCTACAGCACAGAGGCCACAGGCTACAGGACACAGGACATAGCCCAGATGACACAGGACACAGGGCATAGGACACAGAATACCGACCACAGGACATAGGCTACGGGGCACAGGTTACAGGCTACAGGATATAGTCCACAGGCCACAGGACACAGGAGACAGGACAAAGGCTAAACAACATATGACACAAGCTACAGGACACAGGACAAGGGTAAAGGACACAGGCTACATGCTATATGAACAGGTTAAAGGATGAGGACACTGGCTACAGGACACAGGAAGTCGGCACAGCATACAGCACACTAGCCACAGGACAAAGGCCACAGCTACTGGACATAGGACACAGACTACAGAACACAGGACACAGGACATAGGACACAGGCTACAGGACGCAGGATACAGGACATAGGACACGGGCTACAGGACATAGGTTATAGGACAAAGGACAAAGGCCAGTTCATGCTCACAGCCTCACTGTTCAGACCTTACTGAGCCATGAGCAATGTTTCAAAATCAAAGCAGAGATTGTCCAAGGTGCAGAGACCTTTCTGGAACTAACCCTGTTACAGAATAAAAAGTTTGGTTCCCCGAAATATTATCTCTTTTCCTCTGCTTTATTTTTCTCAACAAGAAAGTGTCAGCTGAGCCAGGGGTTTGGGGCCAGAGACTCTCAGCACCATGTGTGCTGCCACCCTCTCCGCGAGTGTCCCTCATTGTCCAGTCTCCTTCCCTTGGGTATCGGGTTGTTCTTCTGTTGTCAGGTCAAAAGAGCAGTTTCAGTTCTCAGTCACAAAATTCTCTGGAAGTATCTTCAGCGACCGTTCATCCTCATCCAAGGGCTGAGTCAGGAGGCAGGCAGTGGTGTCTACGGAGGGGCCTGGTTCGCAGCACCATGTGGGTCCTCCAAGCGGTGCCTCCTGTTCTGATGGCTTTCATGCTGAGTGCCCACTTTGGAGCTGCCGCACTTACATGGCCTTGCTGTGGCCTTCCTGTGGCTCCTTCCTGGGCAGGCTGGGAGTGGGTGGAAAGGGCATCTCTAAGGCCCTCCTCTTCCTGCTTCCTAGGAGCCTGTAAAATGGTTGCCCTGATGCTTCCAGTACAACCACAAGATTCTCCCCTGGACCTGGGCGGAACAGCTGCTCCCAGCAGGCAGTCGTGTTCTTCGAGGTGTTGCTTTCCAGGTGGCTTCTGGCCGCATCAGTGGGTGGGGCCTAGACAGGACCCATGAGTGAGAACTTGGGGGCCTGGGTGTAGCCTTGATTATACATTAACTAATATGACATGAGCTTCTGCTTGAGCCTGACTCTCATTCCCACACACGAGGGACTACACGAAGAGCTGAGTATAAAAGAAAGAAAAATGACACCTTCTAAACCTTACCGTCTAGCTGAAGAATGGGTCATTACAAGGCACAAGGTACTGGCTGGCACTGTGGCTCACTTGGTTAATCCTCCGCCTGTGGTGCCGGCATCCCATATGGGCGCCGGGTTCTAGTCCCGGTTGCTCGGCTTCCAGTCCAGCTCTCTGCTGTGGCCCAGGAAGGCAGTGCAAGTGTTTGGGCTGCTGCACCCACATGGGAGACCAGGAAGAAGCACCTGGCTCCTGGCTTCAGATTGGTTTAGCACCAGCAATAGCGGCCATTTGGGGAGTGAACCAATGGAAGGAAGACCTCTCTCTCTCTCTCTCATTGTCTATATCTCTACCTGTCAAATAAAAGAAAACACAAGGCACAATACATGAAGGAGACAGCAGGAGGGAGCTTGTCACAGCCACAGGAGGATCCAACGTGCCACCCAGCAGGTTCCCTGGTGCAGTGACACTTACACAGAGACCCCCAGAGATACGTTAGCATGGTCCAGATGATTGGGACAAGGAATATGGAGGAGCATTGAGGCTCCAGGCAGAGGGCACAGGAGGGAGGGTGAACCAGAGGCGGGGGGAGGAGAAGGTTGTCCCTAACAAGGCAGAGAGGTAGTAGGAGCCAGGTTGCACAGAGAAAGACGATCCAGAGATGACAGGGCTCCTGGTGGGATGAAATGAGATCATAAATGCAAATCAGTTAGTGCTGTGCACGTACACAGGACGGGTTTGAACAACAGGAGGGACTTGCAAGTGCAAACCACATGGAGGACCAGCCTGTACTCCCAGGGACAGGCAGCTACCGAGCATGGGAGAATGAGGCACTCAGGGAGAGGAGTGGGAACTGGCCCTGGAGGGCAGTATGGGGAGCTGAATCCAGGCCCTGGAAGGCAAAGAGGGGAGCGGGGTCCAGTCCTGGAGGTTGGTGAGGGGAGTGGGGTGTAGCCTTGGAGGGCACCAATGGTGCTGGGCGCAGGCCCGGGTGGGCAAGGAGAGGACTGGGGCCCCAGAACTCATGGGTGGCTACTTCAGCGCCCAAGGGGAGCCGGGCCCTGCTTGGTATCGCATGGAGAGAAGGGTCCATTACTGGGAGGTGGCCAGAGCCCTGCCTAAGGGGTGCTGGTCCTGGCACTGGAGGGCAAGGAGGAGAGAGGGGCCTGTCCCTGGAGCATGGCCAGGGCCCTGCCTGAAGGGAGCGGGCACTGGCCCTGGGGATGAGGAGTGGAGCAGGGTCCAGTTCTGGAGGGCTTTTGGCAGAACTGGGCCTGGCATGGAGGGCAAGGAGGGGTGCAAGCCCAGCCCTAGAGGACGTTGAGGGCAGTGGGGCCTGGCCCTGGAGGGCAGTATGGGGGTGGGACCTGGCCCTGGAGGGCAGCGTGAGGTGATGGGCCCAGGCCTGAGGGTGAGGAAGGGTACAGGGCTTGGCCCTGGAGGGCCAGGATTGGAGTGGGGCCTCGCCCTGGAATAGGCCAGCAACTGCTTGAGGGGAGCAGGGCCCAATCCTGCAGGGCAAGGAGGGGAGGGGGGCTGAGCCCGGGAAGGTGGCCATGGCCATGCCTGAGGGTAGCAGGGCTGAACCCAGGAAGGCAAGGAGGGGTGCGAAGCCCAGTCCTGGAGTGCAAGGAGGAGAGCAGGCCCTGGCCCTGGGTGGTGAGGAGGGGAGTGGGGCCCGGCCCTAGAGAGTGAGGAGGGGAGCAGATCTGGCCCTGAGGGTGTTTAGAGGAGTGTGGCCTGGCCCTCCAGGGCAGTGTGGGGAGTGGAGTCCAATCCCTGGAGATCTAGGAGTGCAGCAGGGTCTGGCCCTATAGGGTGTTGATGGCAGTGGGCCCGACCATGGAGGGCTGGAATGGGAGCGGGGCCCAGGCTTGGAGTGCAAGGAGTGGAGAAGGTCCCAGAGCTGGGAGGATGAAGAGGAGAGAGGGGTCAGCTCTGGAGGGCTTTGAGCATGGCAGGGCTCGGCCCTGATAGGCAAGGAGGGGAGCTGGGTCCAGCCCAGGAGGATGAGGAGTGGAGCAGTGTCGCTCCCCCTCTTCGTGGAGGAACGACACAGGACCCTGTGCTGTTCTTTCGTCTGCTTGGCCCTCCCCGGGTTTGCTGCTGGTTCTTCCCGGGTTGGCTGCCGTCCCTTCCACCTCCGTGGAAGGGCGGTTCCCCCTGGCCACTTTCCCCACTTCCGCAGGGGAGCGGCACACCGCCGGCCAGCTCTCTCGGGGGCTGCACAGGTGTTCCCCTTAGGTGTTCCTCTTAGATGTTCCTCTTAGGTGTTCCTGGTGCATGCCGTCTCTCTCCTCCTTTATAGTCCTCTTCCACCAATCCCAACTCTGCTACCCACACACCGAGTACGCTGCTCTCCTCCAATCAGGAGCAGGTCCCACAGTTTATTGGTTGAACTGGAGGCAGCTGTGTAGAAGCTGTTTCCCTTCTCAGCGCCATATTGTGGGAAAGCAGATGCATAGAATAAGTCTTAATTCCAGTAACTTAGTCTAGTCCGAGTTGCTCCCCACAGAGCAGGCCCCAGGCCATGGAGGGCAGCGTGTGGAGTTGGGCCCAGCCTTGCCGGCCAAGGAGTGCAGCAGAGCCCGGCCCAGAAGGGCGAGCAGTGGAGCGGGGTCTGACCCTGGATGGTGTTGAGGGCAGTGGGGACAGGACCTAGAGGGCCATGTGCAGATTGGAGCCCAAGCCCTGGAGGGCGAGGAATAAAGCAGGGTCCAGCACTGGAGGGCACTGAGGGGAGTGGGGTCCAGCTTTGGAGGGCAGTGGGGGGAGTGGGGCTCAGGCCCTAAAGGGCCAGGAAGGGATCAGGGTGTGGCCCTATAGGGGGTTGAGGGCACTGGGATCTGAACCTGGAGGGCATTGAACAGAGCAGGCCCCAGGCCCTGGAGGGCGAGGAGGGGTGTGGGGACCAAGCCCTGGACAGCTAGGAGGGGAGCAGGGTCTGGCCCTGGAGGGGGTGAGGTGAGTGGGTCCAGGCCCTAGAGGGCAAGGAGGGGAGCAGTGTCCGGCCCTGGAAGGCCTTGAGGGTAGTGGGGCCCGGCCCTGGATAGTAGCGTGGGGTGGCAGGGCGCAGGCCCTGGAGGGTGAGGAGGGGAGCAGAGCCCGGCCTTGGAGGGCGAGGATTGGAGTGGGGCCCTTGTCCATGAGGGTGAGCAGGGGTGTGGGTGTGGGTGTGGGAACCAGGCCCTGGAGGCCAGGAGGGGAGCAGGGCCTGGCCCTGGGGGGCGAGAAGCGGAACAGGGACCAGCCCTGGAGGGCGCTGAGGGTATTGGGGCCTGGGCCTGGAGGACAGTGTGGGGAGTGGGGCCTGGCCCTGGAGCTCGAGGAGAGGAGTAGAGTCTGGTCCTACAGGGTGTTGAGGGAAGTGGGGCACAACCCTGGAGGGCTGCCATGGGAGTGGGGCCCAGACCTGGAGGGTGAGGAGTGGAGTGTGGCCCAGGCCACGGGGGATGGGGTGGTGAGTGGGGTCCTGCTTTGGACGGCTTTGAGCAGTGGGGGGCAGGCCCTGGAAGGTAAGGTGGGGAGCCGAGCCCAGCCCTGGAGGGCGAAGAGTGGAGCAGGGTCCAACCCTGGAGGGCGTTGAGGGTAGTGGGGCCGGCCCTGGAGGTCAGTGTGTGGAGTGGGTTTTGGCCCTGGAGGGCAGCATGGGGAGCGGAGCCCAGGCCCTGGAGGGTGAGGAGGGGAGCTGGTCCTGGCCCTGGAGGGTGTTGAGGGGAGTGGGGCCAGGCCTGGAGGGCAGCGTGGGGAGTGGAGTGCAATCCCTGGAGACCTAGGAGTGGAGCAGGTCCAGTCCTACAAGGTGCTGAGGGCAGTAGGCCGTGCCCTGGTGGGCAGCGTGGGGAGTAGGCGGAGGCCCTGGGGGGCAAGGAGAAGAGCAGGCACTGGCCCTGGAGGGCGAGGAGTGGAGCAGGGTCTGGCCATGGTTGGTGTTGAGGGCATTGGGGCCCGGCCCGAGAGGGCCGTGTGCAGATCAGAGCCCAAGTCCTGGAGGGCGAGGATGAGAGCGGGTCCAGCTTTGGAGGGCATTAAGGGGAGTGGGGTCCAGCCTTGGAGGGCAGCGGGGGGAGCGGGGCTCAGGCCTGAAGGGCCAGGAAGGGATCAGGGTGTGGTCCTATAGGGCATTGAGGTCACTGGGATCTGGACCTGGAGGGCATTGAACAGAGCCGGCCCCAGGTCCTAGAGGGTGAGGAGGTGTGCGGGGACCAAGCCCTGGACAGCTAGGAGGGGAGCAGGGTCTGGCCCTGGAGGGGGGTGAGGTGAGTGGGTACAGGCCCTGGAGGGTGAGGAGGGGAGCAGTGTCCGGCCCTGGAAGGCCTTGAGGGTAGTGGGGCCCGGCCCTGGATAGTAGCATGGGGTGGCAGGGCCCAGGCCCTGGAGGGTGAGGAGGGGAGCAGAGCCCGGCCTTGGAGGGCGAGGATTGGAGTGGGGCCCTTGTCCACGAGGGTGAGCAGGGGTGTTTGTGTGGGTGTGGGAACCAGGCCCTGGAGGCCAGGAGGGGAGCAGGGCCTGGCCCAGGGGGGCGAGAAGCGGAACAGGGACCAGCCCTGGAGGGCGTTGAGGGTATTGGGGCCTGGGCCTGGAGGGCAGTGTGGGGAGTGGGGCCTGGCCCTGGAGCTCGGGGAGAGGAGCAGAGTCTGGCCCTATAGGGTGTTGAGGGAAGTGGGGCACAACCCTGGAGGGCTGCCATGGGAGTGGGGCCCAGACCTGGAGGGTGGGGAGGGGAGCGTGGCCCAGGCCACGGGGGATGAGGTGGTGAGTGGGGTCCTGCTTGGACGGCTTTGAGCAGTGGGGGGCAGGCCCTGGAAGGTAAGGTGGGGAGCCGAGCCCGGCCCTGGAGGGCGAAGAGTAGAGCGTGGTCCAACCCTGGAGGGCGTTGAGGGTAGTGGGGCCGGCCCTGGAGGTCAGTGTGTGGAGTGGGTTTTGGCCCTGGAGGGCAGTATGGGGAGCGGAGCCCAGGCCCTGGAGGGTGAGGAGGGGAGTTGGTCCTGGCCCTGGAGGGTGTTGAGGGGAGTGGGGCCGGGCCCTGGAGGGCAGCGTGGGGAGTGGAGTGCAATCCCTGGAGACCTAGGAGTGGAGCAGGTCCAGTCCTACAAGGTGCTGAGGGCAGTAGGCCGTGGCCTTGGTGGGCAGTGTGGGGAGTAGGCGGAGGCCCTGGGGGGCAAGGAGAAGAGCAGGCACTGGCCCTGGGGGACGAGGAGGGCATTGGGGCCTGGCCCTGGAGTTCAGCGTAGGGAGAAGAGCCCAGGCCCTGGAGGGCGAGGAGTGGAGCAGGGTCTGGCTCTAGAGGGCGTTGAGGGCACTGAGCCCAGCCATGGAGGGCTGCGATGGGAGGGGGCCCAGGCCCTGGAGGGCGAGGAGGGCAGCAGGCATTGGCACCAGGGGTTGAGGAGGAGAGCAGGACCTGACCAAGGATGGCGAGGAGGGGAGCAGGGCCCGACCCAGGAGGGCAAGCAGGGGAACAGGACCCGACCCAGGATAGCAAGGAGTGGAGCGGAGCCCAGCCCTGGAGGGCGATGAGGGCAGTGGGGCCCGGCCCTAGAGGGCAGCAGTGGGAGTCGGGCCCAGGTCATAAGAGGCAAGTGGGGATCAGGGTGTGGCCCTGGAAAGAGGCCATGAAAAATCTAAGGGGAGCAGTGCCTGGCTCTGGAGGGCGAGGAGGGGAGCAGGCAT